TCCTAGCTTTTTCTTGACACACTGCCCTTTGGGAGATAAAAAGGGGAATAACAACATTTAGCAGATCAGGCGAGGACTAGGATCTCAGCATGTAACATTTCAGAGGATTTGCCCCTTGAGTCTGGGTTACTTTTTCTTTCTTGGCCTATGGTTTGGGGCGTTAACCTAAAGGGCCTGGTAATACAGTGGTGCTAGGAGCTCCATGTTTCACTGCAGTTGTTCTGGGACACATGGCAAGATTACTGGGGAACAAAGTAATAAGAGAATAGACATGATATAAATAAACTTATTTACCAAACAGAAACAAACTCAGAGAACAAACTTATGGTTGCCGGGAGGAAGGGGTAGTTAGGGAGTTTGGGGTAGACATGTACACACTGCTCTATTTAAAATGGATAACCAGCAGGGACCTGCTGTCTGGCACAGGGAACCCAATGTTATGTGGCAGCCTGGATGGGAGGGGAGTTTGGGGGAAGAATGCATGCATATATGTGTATGGCTGAGTCCCATTGCTATCCACTTGAAACTATCACAACATTGTTGATCGGCTATACTGCAATACAAAATAAATAAAATTTTAAGATTAAAAAAAGTATTAGCAGAATGTAATGTGAGAGTAATAGAGTAATATAAAATTAGTAAGAAAGTAAGGATGTCAGATATAAAATTTGAGAATCAAAGCTCTTGGACTGTGATATAGGTAAAGGTAAATTTTGATGGAGAGCATTCTGTAGCTGAGAAAAACTTGATTGTTAGTGGACAGACAGTAGATGCGGATTCAGTAGATTTGGGTTCTAGACTTAGTTTTTTACTGTCAACCTGGGGAAGTCACTTAGACACACCCTTCCCATCCCCAATTTCTGCTGTTAAAAGTGACGTGCACCCATTTTTGTTTTTTAGTTCATTTTCTTTTTTCAAAAGGTATTCTCAATCCCTCTGGATTCCTTAGCGTTACATCAGGGGTCCAAGTAGGGTTGGCGCAGCCATGAGAAAGAGACCAAATTGTTCCCCATAGAGTACCCCACTTGAGAAAATTTAACTTTTGCGGGTTTTTTCTGATAATTCCTTTGAAGAAGTCCCATTGCCAAAATCAGTGTGGAAACATCTAGACTGAAACATCTTGAAAATGCCTTTGGCTGCTACGAAGTGGTGTTTCTGAATCCTCCTGCAGAGTCTGTTCTTGGTGTGCCTCTCTCAGAGGTGGGGAGGTACTGGTTCCGGTTCGGTTGTGAAGTCACCGTGCAGACCGGTGGAGAAAAGCGTGCTGTCTGGCTCCACTCTGATGCCCACTGTATGTGAGAGGCTGCTCAACGACACAGAAATCAGAAGTGCTTTTTACCTCTGCTCGCTTGGAGAATCTTAATAAAATGGTAAAGAAAACCATATTCTGTGCTTATCAAAACATTTATACTGCCTGCCGCTTCTTTGAGCATCTGCCGTGTAGCGTTTCGTGTAAGTTGTCTCCTTTAAGCCTGGGGTGGCCCTGTGAGCAGCCGGGGTGAACTGCGCCGTCGGTGAGGACCAGCCAGCTTCACGGAGATTGTGTGGCTTGGCCGAGCTCCCGCAGTTAGCAACGGGGAGAGCTGGGGCTTGAAAGTGGGATTGCGCTTCTAAAATGCGTGCATGCGTTGTTAGCGTGCCTCTCCTCCATTTAGGTTAGACTTGTAGCCGAAGAAATTAGAGCACCACCGTCACTCGTGGTTACTCATTAATGAAATCAGGCAATGCAAGTAATTGGCAGCTTTCATTGTTTCTGTTTTGTGTGTTTCGGCCTCGCTGTGTGACTTGTGGGATCTCTGCTCCCTGACTAGGGGTTGAACCTGGTCCAGACCAGTGACTGCTTCGAGTCACGAGCACTGGATCACTAGGAAGCTCCCTCGCTGCTCTTAAACTGCTTCGGATTATGCCACGGATTTATCAGAGGGCAGAAATGGTTCGATCAGACTGAATATATATATTCCTTATACATTATCTCCTTCCAAATAAGGAATAAATGAGACATTTATCGAATTAGAGCAGGATGAAATAGTCTGTGTGAAAGCTTGGAAATGATTCCTGAGAGAATAATAGATGTGAAAACAGAATTCTGCAGTAGATGATGATAAATTCTTTAAAGTCATTCAAGCATTTATAGATTACATTGTTTCATAATCAGTGTGAGATTCATGATATCCATAAAGCTAGGGAAATTTGGTAATAACTTTCATGCCTCGAGAACAAGTTTACTGTGATACTACCTAGTTACAAAGAAACTAGGCATTTTTTTTCCCTTCAAAATGTAATAACTGACTGCTGGGCCTTGTAGAGAAACCACCTTGTGATGCTGCTCACCAGGGTTTCTAGTTCTTCCTTACTCATGTAAAAAGAGCCATCACCCAGTCTCTTTCAAGTCCACCGGTGACCAGGTGTCCTGCTGTACTCAATGAAATTGAGCAGAAATGACACGTCACATTTTTAAATGTGAAAGCATTTAAAAGCTGATTTGAAATCCTCTCTCTTTCCCTGCTGTTGGGATCCTACCACGTGACTAGTCCAGAGGGAATGCTGAGTTGAGAAGGAAAGCCTCTCTAGAGAATTTCCTGGGACCGATGCTAATGAGTGAGAAATAAGCTTTGAGTTCCGCCTCCTCCACCTTCTGGTTTGAGCACTGTAACCTATTCTGTGCTGATGTTACTGCATGTGCGTTGCCAGCACTGATGGGTGTGGTAGGCTGCTAAGGAGAGGGTCTGACCGAGAGCAGAGCAGAGTTTAGTGTGGATGTAGAGAACCTCAGTGATGTAACAGCCAAGTTGCTCTTTCAGCTGTCATCCATTGTGTGTTTGGTCAGTTTAATTCTTCCAGAAGTACAGCTTCGGTCCTATCACTGCCCTGCTTGAAAACATTCCTCAGTGCCCACAGAATAAAACCTCAGTCCCGCCCACCACGTGCTTTGAACCTGTTCTTTTGTCGTGTTGAACTAGACATGCCTTTGACCATTCACGTGTTTGAGAAACACTCGCTAGTCACTTGGCATGCCTGTTCTGAGATCTGACTCTGGGAACACACAGAATGTTCCTTACCATCTCCGCGTGTCCAGATTTGACTTCACTTTTGATATGAGCTTTGAAGGATATTTCCTATTGAAACCCTGCTTTATTCTTAGTAGTCGCATAGAATTTCTCTTTCTGACTTCTCAAGCCTTTCTGGCACCCCACTTTGTGTCCTGTGTTGTAAATTTTTATGCTGTGTCTCATTCCGTTTCCTGGGGGTTATGTCACACTTTTCCCTAGCTCCTAGCATAGGGTAGGGACTCAGTAATATTTACCGAGTGAGTGGTTGTTAGAGTGTGATTGTGTTGAAAAGTCAGTTAATGATTAATTTGCTTTTGTTTGACAAGTGGTGTTATTGTTAAAGGTATTTTGCCTTCTTTGCTTGCACGTTGCGTCTTCTGGCTTCTGGGGTTAAGTAGTAGGACCTTATGTGGCAATGGCATTAAAAAAAGAAAAGCATGCCTATGCTACTGTACCCTGGAACACAGATACATGAGTCTTCTTTACCATTGTGTGAGGTCTGTCTTGTGTTTTCTTAAAGAGTTACCATAGCGCTGCTTAATGTGACGTGTGGGATAATTCTAGGGCATAAGAATGTGTGGATCAGATGTTTTAACCAGTTCACACTTTTTTGTCTTGATGTTTTGCTGTCTCTATTGACAATCTCCTGAAAAATCTGTGCCACTGATTCAGAACTTTGAAATGGATGGTGAAAAAGGCCCAGATCCTCCTCTGGTTTGGCTGTTAGCTAACTGTGGTGTTTTCAGTCGTGACAGTGGTATCCACAGAACAAGTGGGCTGGACAAGAATCTGTGATTCTTTTTCTGATTTTGCAGAGGACCAAGTACTTTGAATTCTGATCTGGTGTGGATGCAAAAATTGGAGACAGCATCCTCCTAAAGCTGGGACAGGATGAAGGAGCCTGTCCTTCTCCATGAAGGAGATTTATGGATTTATTGAGTGCTTACTCTGTTCTGGATGCTGTCTGTTCACTGTCTTGTGAGGGAGTTTTTATCTCTGTGTTTCAGTTAAGGAATTTGAGGCTCCAGGAAGCTCTGAGGATCCTTGTGTAGGCCACACAGCTGGTAAGAGCAGGATCCAGAACACTGGTCCAAATCAGTCTCACTCCAAAGCCAAGTCTCACTTACAAAGCCTGTTGTAGATTGCAGGCAGTTCTTGGTTTTGCTAACAGAGTGGCCTTTGGGGCAAAATGAAGCATGGTCTGGATGTGTCTTGAAGGAAGCACTACCTGTTGCATATGATAGTTTGTAGAATAATCTTAGAATACAACAGAGTGACTGGATAAGCTTTTTTTTCCTGGATCTTCTGTTAGCCTGTGTGCCCTGCCAGAGCGGAGTTGTTACCCTTGTTCTTGTGCTTTACAGCCTGGGATGAAGCGACTTGACTGACGTCCCCACAGCTTTGTGTGGGCTCAAGTTTTGCTTGCTCCTCAGTAGTTTTTTGCGACCTTCGGCTGCATACATAGCCTTTTGGAAATGTAGTTTTTGTGTGTAAGAAGGGATAAACATTACCTGCTATAGCATGTTGCTGGATTTCGTCTGTAGTTGCACTTGTTATTGGGGAAAAACACTTTTCAGCACAAATCATGGTCCAGGATGATGGAAGGTAAGAAGGCCTACACCGAAGGCATGACTTCGGCAGTGTGTGTTCCTTTTAAGAAGCAAGTTATTTGTGTCTTCCTGTTTCAGGACACAAGCGTTTTCTTAATAATAATAAGCCCTAATAAGCTGCTTACAACTTTGTTTCGTTGCGGAGTATTGTTAAGTACAATTAAATGTAATAATCAACATCTTAAAGCAGAGCTTAGACACTTTGAGGGGAAAGTATGTGAACATGAAAGTAACTTTCTAGGGCTAAATTATCTGGGGATTCTGTTCAGCAGACATTTGAAGCATCCTGTTATGTGCCAGGCCCTGAAAGAACCGATGGAGAGTGGAGAGTAAGACACAGTCTCATGTCACTAAAAGCGCATCTCAAGAGGGTAAGCGTCTTGCTCACAAGACAAAAATTAATGTTATGCCAGTTATGAGTAGTATTAGCACATTGAAGAAAATGAGCAAAGTGAGTGGAACCAGCCACTAGAAATGCGAAGATAATTTCTTTTTCTTGACCGCGCTGCACAGCCTGTAGAAACTCGGTTCCCCAGCCAGGGGTGGAACCCACGCCCCCTGCTTTAGAAGTTTCAAGTGTTAATCGCTGGACCACCAGGGAAGCCCCGCAGATAATTTCTGGGTGAGGTGGAAACTCGTGGTATGACAGTGATACCTAAAAAGCTCTAAGGGACACAGGTGAGGGATGGGATGTTTGGGTTGGATCTTAAAGCATGAGTATAGGTTGGCCAGGCGTGGGTTGAGGAGAGGAGGAGTAGAACAGTGGTCCTGCCGGGACAGAGTCTGGTCAGAGAAGCACAGCCAGCCCTGTACGCTTGGGCAGTGGGTGGCGTTGTGTCGCGTGGGTGGTTAAGGTGGAATGGGTGGAGTGTCTCTGTGTCACGCTAGGAATTGAGTTTGTCCCCCTGAAGCTAAAGGGGGGAGCCTCGGTTTTTATTTTGATGGTTTATTCGGGAGCAGTGTGGGTAGTGACGTGGGGACAGGGGTGCTGTGCCCCCCAGGAGCGGGGCAGACAGTCCCCCTGGTCTGGGGCAGCGGTGCAGAGGGCCTGGGTGCTGCAGAGAGGAGATGGGCGCCGGCAGATCCGCTGGATGTTGTCCAGGTTGCGTGGATTAAGCTTGGTGAGTAGGTGGTGGGATGCGGCGGGTGCCAGGTGTCCAGGGTGACTGGACGGTTCCAGTTCAGGCTGCAGAGTGAATGACTGTGTACTGAGCGGCCTGATTCACCCTGGCATGGTGGGTATGGAGGAGCAGGTTTCCTGGAGGAGGCGATGTTGGAGCCAGGCTGAGATTATCTCTTTCCTTGGTTTTTGTTCTTGCTAACAGTCTTTTAGAGGTCATTTATTCGTCCAGAAAACACTGTTAGCTTACTGTGTGCCAGTAATCTTTATTTTTTAAATTAAATTAGTTTTGGTGAAATACACATTGCATGAAATCTACTATCTTAACCAGTTTTAGGTGTGCAGTTCGGTGGTGAGTGAAAGTCGTGTCCGATCCTTTGCGACCCCATGGACTATACAGTCCTTGAATTCTCCAGGCCAGAATACTGGAGTGGGTAGCCTTTCCATTCTCCAGGGGATCTTCCCAACCCAGGAATCGAACCCAGGTCTCCCACACTGCAGAGGGATTCTTAACTGCATTTACAATTGTAAATTTACAGTTGTTTTGCAACCATTGCCACCATCTGTTTTCTGAATTGAAACTCTGTACCTATTAAACAATAACTGCCTGTTTTCTCCTAACCCCTCAGCCCCTACCATTCTAGTTTCTTCCTTTTAGTTCGGCTGTTCTAGGCACTTTATTTAAGTAGAATCATAAAAGTTTTTGTCTTTTTTGTCACTGGCTGGTTTCACTTAGCATCATGTCCTCAAAGTCCACTTATATCTCAGAATATCCTTCCAAGACTGAATAGTATTTCAGTGTATGGATGTACCGTGTTTTCTTTATTCATTTATCCACCAATAGACACTTGAGTTGCTTCTGCCTGTTAGCTGTTGTGAATAATACTGCTGTGGACGTGGGCATGCAAATATCTCTTGAAGTTCCTGTTTTCAGTTCTTGGAGTGTGTACACCTATAAGTGGAGTTGCTGGATTATATGTAGTTCTATTTCTAATTTTCTCAGGAACCGCCATACTTTTTTCCCATGGTGGTCAATACTGTCTCACATTCCCATCAGCAGTGCACAAGAATTCCAATTTCTCCCCATCCTCTTGTTCCCCACCCCCCAACAGTAGTCATTCTAATGGGTGTAGTTTTGATTTACATTTCTCAAATGATGAGTAATATCCAGCACCTTTTCATGTGTTTATCCGCCATCCGTTTGTCGTCCTTGGAGAACATTCCAAGCTCTCTGCCCATTTGTTACAGTTGGGCTCTTCCAGCTTTGTTGCTGAGTGGAAGGAGTTCTTTATATGCGCCGTGCACGAGCCCCTTATTAACTGCAGCCATGAAACGGAAAGATGCCGCTCCCTGGAAGAAAAGCTGTGGCCAACCTAGACAGCATGTTAAAGAGCAGGGACATCACTTTGCCTGCAAAGGTCCGTCTAGTCAAAGCCATGGTTTTTCCAGTAGTGATGTGTGAATGTGAGAATTGGACTGTAAAGAAAGCTGAGTGCCAAAGAATTGATTCTTTAGAACTGTGGTGTTGGAGAAGACTCTTGAGAGTCCCTTGGACTGCAAGGAGATCCAGCCAGTCCATCCTAAAGGAGATCAGTCCTGGGTGTTCATTGGAAGGACTGATGCTGAAGCTGAAACTCCAATACTTTGGCCACCTCATGTGAAGAACCAACTCCTTGGAGAAGACCTTGATGCTGGGAAAGATTGAAGGCAGGAGGAGAAGGGGACCACAGAGGATGGAATGGTTGGATGGCATCCCCGACTCAGTGAGTTTGAGTAAACTCCTGGAGCTGGTGATGGACAGGAAAGCCTGGCGTGCTGCAGTCCATGGGGTCGCAAAGAGTCGTACGTGACTGAGCGACTGAACTGAAACCCCTTCTTGAATATATGACTGTACATGTTTTTTTCCAGTCTGTTCTTGTGTTTGTGGCCTTTGATGCAGCTAGTATTCTTTTGGGTTTAGTCACTCTGTTGTGTCTTACTGTTTGTGACCCCATGGACTGTAGCCCACCAGGCTCCTTTGTCCATGGGATTCTCCAGGCAAGAATACTGGAGTGGGTTGCCATTTCCTCCTCCAGAGGAATGTTCCCGACCCAGGGATCCAACCCACATCTCCTGCATCACCTGCGTTGCTGGCAGATTCTTCGCTGCTGAGCCACTGGGGAAGCCAGTATTGCAGGAGCAGCGCTGGATAAGACTGCTGCTGAGCTCGCCTGAGCCAAGGCGGGGGCGCTCAGGTGAGCTTCAGTAGTAATGGTGACTGAACAGTTGTGTGCTCCGAGTGAAAAATAATGCTGGTTTTACTTAACGTTCTCCATGAAGCAGGAAATTTTCACTTTTATCAAATCTCAGCCTTTATAGTACCTTTCTCTCCCCGCCCCCGCCAATACTGCATGATGTGTGGGATCCTAGCTCTCTGACCAGGGATCAGACTTGTGCCCTCGGCAGTGGAAGCATGGAGTCCCAACCACTGGGCCACCAGGGAAGTCCAAATGGTACCCCACAGGTAAGGATTCATTCAAAGTGAAAGATCAGTGACTTTAATAGAGGACTTACCACTAACTTACGAGGAACTACCTACCATTGTCAAGTTTTAATGTAATATCAAAAGAAAAGAAAATACTCGCAATTATTTGCAAAGGCTAAAAAACTTTTTCCAGCTGTGGATCTGAAGCTGAATTGTTTTTCATATACCTCAGTCAGAACTTCATATGTTACATAGCTTGAATGCAGAAGCAGACAGGAGAATCTAATAGTTGTCTTCTCTTAAGCCAGGCGTTAAAGAGATTTAAAATATATGCAAAAATATAAAACAAGCCACTTTTTCATTAAACTTATGTTTTGGGAAAATAGTTATTTTTCATAAAAATGGGTTATTTTAATATCTTATGATTTCATTCTATATAGTGAGTTTATATTCTATGTAAAGTTTGAAACCATTGATTGTAGGTTACAGGTTGGAATTAGCATCTGAGGGAAAACTTTAGATTCCGGCATATCTGAAAATCTGTATGGGAACAACATACAAGAAAAGAGAAATAATTAGTTTCTGTTTGTATTGTGCAGAGTTACTGGGCACTTGACATGTGTCTGGCCCTGTGCCAAAGTACCTATATTAATTACTCCCTCTAATTTTTATCTTGCAGTGCATATATCTTCCCAGTTTTACAAACCAGGAAGCAGAGGTACAGACAGACAGACAGGTTAAATCGTTGGCTCACACTCACTCAGGAGGTTAAGTAGCGGAGCCAGGCTTTGGGGCGCGCTCAAGTCTGAGTCAAAAGCCTGGGGTCATTGCGATTCTCTACCAGGGCACAGAAAGCTGTGTGTCATGAATCAGCACTGTAAACATTGGAATAAAAGTGCGTTATCTTTTTGGGGGGGGGAGGGCTATGCCGTGGCATGCAGGATCATCTTAGTTCCCCGACCAGGGGTCAGACCCATGCCCCCCTGCAGTGGAAGTTCAGAGTCTTAACCACTGGACGGCCAGGGATGTTCTGAAGAGTGTGTAATCTGGAGATGGCTCGTGGAGGGCTCCGGCTTTGTGAAAGGTCCTGCCTGTGGTTGGTTTTTTTGGTTTGTTTTTGAACCCAGACCGTAGTCTGCTGCTGTTTCATGGAACCAGATCCTTAGAAGGCGAGTAGAATTTCACAGCAGACCCTGCCTGGAAGGCTGTAGGCTTTGTCTTTATTTGTTTTATTTTGAAGATTGATTTATTTTTGGCTGTGCTGGGTCTTTGTTGCTGCTCATGGGCTTTCTCTCGGTGCTGCGAGGAGGGGGCTCCTCTCTGGCAGTGGCTGCCGGGCTCTAGAGCGCAGGCTCAGTAGTTGTGGCTCACAGGCTTAGTTGCCCTGCAGCATGGGGCATCGTCCCAGACTGGGGATCGAACCCGAGTGTCCTGCACCAGCCGGCGGATGCTTCACCACTGAGCTACCAGGGAAGCCCGGCTTTATGTCGCATAGGTTAGTAGTCGTTAGTATGTGATGTAGTTCAAGGTGGGGGAGACTTTCAGGGCGGCTGTAGTTGAGAGACCCTTGCTTGGGCTAGTTGCCGTTCCTGGTTTCACCCTGGGGTACAGGAAACTTTAGGTCATCAAAGTCGTTCTGTATCAGAGGTTGGTTTCCCCAGCGGCAGAAGAGGAAACGGGAATGGGGTTGAAGGCGGTAAATCAAGGATAGTGCTGTGTGTCTGATCCTGGGCTTTTGGGTGTTACTTGCTGAGAGCATCAGGTGACCTTGAGACAAGCAAGTGTGA